TCCTTCACGGCTGCCAACGCCTCACCAAGAACCTTACTTGCACTTGTCAAAAAACACAAAGTTAGTTGGCATTATTCAAGTATTTACTCAGATCGTATCTCTTGTTTCAGTTTGATTACCAAAAAATGTCACATTAAATGCCTTCTTGATTGCGTTATTAGAAAATTAAATGCCTTCTTGATTGCGTTATTCCAAAAACAATACTTTTTTGCAAAACCTTTCAAAAACAAAATCTTCGAAATGTTCTTCGAGTGTACAATAGCAAAATTGCAGAGCGCAGCGTACAGTATGATGAAACGTCGAGTGGGTAGTTCGGAGGAGACTGTACTGGTGCGAGCGGTACGTGATTGGCCGTCGTGGCTATTCCATCATCTGCCGTTCGATTATGCAGTGCGAGTGGTGGATTGCTTCGTGGTCGAGGGACATAAGATGCTGCTTCGTGTTGCACTGGCGATCATTTACATATGGTCCAAAAAGAGTAAACGACATGTCAGTGGTTTCGCTTGTCGACTTTTTTTTTTGCTGAAGGCTTCGTTTTTGAATCTGAAATTGAGGACTTTATTTTTATTTATTTGAGTGTACAATGGTTCATTGTGCGACACTTGAGTGATGCTAATGAGATTCATTCTCATCATTAGCATATTCAATGTAGATGGAAATTTGAGCACTTTGGAAATTCATTTTTCTTCTCACTAGTTTTCCTTTCCATTCATAATCATCTCTCGCAAGAACTTGTCATTATTGTTCAGTTCCAGAAATTTTCAAAAATAAAAGAGAACGCAATAGTTTTCAGCAGAAAATTAGAGAAAAAATGAACAGGAATTGAAATAAAATGAGAGAGTATTAGCGAACGAATTAAAAAATTACTTACAATTAGTGTAAATCTGTCTCGAGATTCAAATTCATCGATTTTCTTTGCTTTCAAATACCGTATTCAATTGAATCGTAGAGGAATTAGTAATTGAAGTCGTTTAGTTCAGTTCATTTCCGATTGTTTTTTTGTATTGTGTACACAATCGTTCACTGGAGTTTTATTTTAATTGTCAGTTATATTGAAAGTATTAACTTACCATGGAATTGCAGCATGTGGATATGACATCAAAAAGTGTTGAGGAACGCGCTGACGCGTTGGCGACCGAGTTTGCGGAGACAGCTTCAAATTGTCCCGTTTCCATACAAACAC